AAGTATTTTTAAGGGTCCATCGTTTATTACCTATTTTCTTTTTCGCAATCTTTTATTACTTTTGACAAATTTATATCTTTATTCTGTGTGGACAAAAAAAAAAAAAAAAAAAAAGAAAAGTATTGACGACTTCGTGACTCTCCGGTTTCGAATAAAACAATAAAAAAAGAAAAAAAGAATAAATAAAAAAAATGATAAAATAAAAACGTTCTATGAAACACGAAAGGTTTCCTATGATCTAAACTAAATCACTTCTTTTTGTTATATTTTTTTATCACTTCTTTCATCGAAAATTATTTTTTGTTTTTTTTTTGATATAGTAACTTTGAATTACTGCACGTTCTGATTTGTCAATTAGAAAAAAAGTAGATCGAATGATCTTTCTTCTTGAGGAAGGAAACAATCATAGCAATTGCAATAAAAATAGACACAAATATTTTGTTAATGTAATTGTTAATTTATTACTTTTTAAATGAGAATTGCATATCGTCGGTTAGAATGATATTTGAAAATGTTCTTAAATAAATTCGATAATTAATCATTATAATTTTATGTTTAGGAACTTCGCCAAGTGATCAACAGTATTCTCAGCAACCATTAAGTTCTATGGATCAAAATATCCGAAGGTACAGAACGGCTTTCACTAGAGAACAATTATCTCGGTTGGAAAAAGAATTCCACCGTGAAAATTACGTCAGTAGGCCTCGTAGATGCGAGTTAGCGGCGCAGTTGCAATTGCCAGAGTCAACCATCAAGGTATGCACCCCATTACATAATAATAATGATAATAATAATCTAAAAATATTTAAAATAGCACAAATTTTTTATATTTTACCTAATTATATATAATATTGGTTACAACAAAACCAACCAGGTGTAATATTCATTAAATAAATTATTATTTACGTAAATATAAACGACGTTTGTTAAATAATACATTTGTGAAATGTAATGATGTCTGATTGAAGTGTTAATTTGATACGAGACCATTTAGAAATTGAACACAACGTAGCTTTGGAATTCAAAGATAATGTTTATTTATAAACACGATAGTTTATACTCAGTAATATCGATTGTGTTTCGATATCGATTGTGTGTATCCACTTGTTATATATTAGTAAATTTCAATGTACACCAATTTGAGATTTCTTATAATACCGAGAGAAAATCTTATTGACAAGTTGCTATAATTCATAATATAAGTAAGAATATTAGATGATATAAACACGAGAATTGTATAATAATTGATATCATAAATAGGCTTACTAAGAAATTAGATAGACGCGATAGAAGAAAAATTATAAAAAAAAAAAAAAGAAGAAAGGTTTCCTCGATAAAAAAAAAAGTATCTAACAAACTTCTCACCGAGATTAGAAAAAAAAACAGAATAAATTAACATGAGAGTTTTTTTGAAAAATAGATATACTTTAATAATTCAATCGCAAAAAAATAATCTAATAGGGGATGGTATAGAAATTAGAGCAAGAAATTTGAACGACCCGAGCAAGTGTTAGGGAGGTAACATATTAAATTCCATCGATTAGGATAAAGATGTTATTGGTGATAAATGAAAACCGGTTAGATAGGAGGATTTTATTCGGTAAGAAGAAGAAGAAGGGGTCGACGATCACCGGAAAGGAATAAGTTAACAGTAGCACACTACCATTCTCCGTTTTTCTCTTGGATGATTTTCCTGTGATCTTGGAAGCACGCCAAGCCCGCTCATTGCGGTCGGAGGTGCTAAGTATCTTCGTTAGCGACTATCTACGGGTCTTCCTTTGGCTTTAACGGATCTTTTAATTTTTATTATTTTGATACTCGCGCCTTTACAGAGGCAATAAAGTATATGTGAATGGAAATGATCGAGGTGCTAAATAACGAAAATGTTAGCCGCTTTGACTCTCGACAACGTTCATTGAAAGATTAAAGAAAGAAAGCAAGCAAGCAAGCAAGAAAGTAACCAAGAAAGGAAGTATAATTGTTAAGGATATATTTTATTATGATTTCAGGTGTGGTTCCAAAATCGTAGAATGAAAGACAAACGTCAACGTATAGCAATGGCATGGCCATACGCCATGTATGATCCGGCAATAGCGGCAACCTTATTTGCAGCAGCTACGGGAACTTTACCACCACCACCATCAGCGTATGGAACAACGCATTTAACGCCACCCTATCCAGCTGCGGCGGCAGCGGCGTATTACGCTGCACGGTATTCCCCCTATCCAAATTCAGTTTGTTCCCCCACCACTACGACATCCTCCCTCCACAGGCCGCAGCCACGGACTGCGGCAGGTTCCTATCCGACTGCTCACTCACATTTAATATCCCCCCACCACTCTCTTTTACCTCCCCTCCACTTAGCCCCGTTGGGCGTTCCTAGTGTCGGTAGCACCGCCTTTCAAAACGGCGCCCCGACTAATCCAATCGACCCAACCACCTATCGGACACCGGTGATTAGTGCAGAATCAGCTCTTCTTAGAACAACAACTACGCCTAATTCAGCCAGCGACTTAACCAACGGCCTCACAGGTAGTCCTTATCGAACGCCGATTTTATCTAAATTAAGCCCAGTCGATTCCGAAGCGTCCAATGATTGCGATTGTACTTCTACTCAAAAACATCAAACTCATCATACGCCTAATTCGTCACAATTACTTGCTTATCGATGAATTTCGTTAATTATTCTTCTCTCTCTCTCTCTCTCTCTTTCTGCTGCACTTTATAGCTGAAACACTCATGCTCGCGTTCTTTTTTTTTTTACTTGTTTTTTTTTTTGTTCAACATATTACTTTTTAAGTTAGATAAAACGTCATTTGTCAGTATTAGCAAATAATTCAATCATTTTCATTCTTCTGTTTTGGATTAGGGGGGCCAAGCAATCCGATCTTTCCATCCTTGTATCGAATAAATGACTACAACCGGTTATATTATTTTTAGTATTAATAATTAAGAAGTCATATATATGTATATATATATATACATATATATATTTTCTCTCACACACCATTTACGACGATTCATCATTATTTATTTAATCGACCCATTACATTTAGAGAATAAATTTCATCTATAATTAGAAATTTTAAGTAATAGTATTTTAGAATTTCAATATAATTTATAAATCATTGAAATAAATCAAATGATTTTTTTTTAAATCCAATTTATTGTTCTTAACCCTTTAGTTACTAAATGCTTTAGTAGAATTCTATATAAAAAATTTGTTCGTAAATACGTATCGTTGCATGGACACGACTCGTATATGGGTTGTTGTTAACGAAAGGGTTAAAAAATTATTTTTTAAAATGTGAATAATTATCGTAGTATTAATGATTTTATTTACTAAAAAAATATGTATATGTATATATGCACAAATATATGTATATGTATATGTATGTATACATGTATTTATCTATATGTCCTTGATAAATATATATATATAGATAATGTTTATAATTAAATATTAGTTGCGACCAAAAATTTGTAAGTAAAGTTCATTGTTAGTTTTAAGTTGAATCATTTTTAAGTAGACTATATGAAATTTTTAAGAAAACGTGAACGTAGAAAGATGAAATCAAAATTGAAATAAATGTATATATACGATACTTATATGAGAAATCTTTCTATATATAAGTGTTTCAGAATATACATATTTATTTATTAATTATTAACATATACATATGTATATAATTGTACCTGATAGAGTCAAAATAAAATTTCGTAGAGTTTTCCAACTAACGACGAATGGAAAACACCCTACGAACTTTGTTTTCAACCCAATAACCCAAATCGATTTTTCCATTAATTGGTAAATATATCATTTTTCATTTATCTTTCTAAATATCATCGTATTTTGTCTCGTGTTCTATAATTTTATAAAGTTAACGAGTTAGAAAGTGTGTTTACTTTTAATTTCTTGAAAAAGGATTTTGTATATATATAAAAAAAAAAAAGAAAAATTATTAAAAAAAAATTACAAAAGCAAAAAAAAAGAAAATAAAAAAATAAATGCACATATACGGTTTATATTTTAAAAAAGAATATACATAAATATGATTTTTTTTCTAATATATTCATTTATAGTTATGCGGGAATCTAAAATTACGGATATTACCGAGCCTCGGATCAGATCGAAATTCTGAAAAAATCATCGACAAATAAATATATTTGGATATCCGTTTGATCCACGTTCTCGATAATATTTCATTTGGAATACGAGGTTCCATTCAGAATTGATTTTTGATAGAAACTTTAAAATTGTCATTTTATCGTGCAATAGAATATTCGAATTCTTACTGAAACAACAATCACGTATTTAAAAACGATTTCTAAAATTACGTATACCCAAATATATTGTTTGCAATTCGTGAAACTTTTCAGAATCTTAACTCGATTCCAAAGAACATTTTTAACTCAACAAATTGAAAAATAAATCTCGAGTTTCGTAATTTCGATTTTATTCGCATATGATTCTAAAATATATATATATATATATAAATTATTATATAA